CACTTTTTATATATAGAAAGATACCCAATGCCACATGAATTATTAATTCGTTAATATAACCTATTAATCTCGAAAAATGGCTCCGACACGTGGCCAACATAATAAGTCTTCTAGTAAGCTATTCCATGCACAAGTGGCACGCCGTTAGTCACCCCGTGCCCTTTCCCGGAGGAGTTAGGGATGGTCGTGAGCACTCCGACTGTCAAGTCAGTTTAAGGTTCAACCGGAAAAGGTTTATCGACGATAGGACACTCGTCGGGAAATGGATGATAAAGTGTGTATTGATAAAGTGTCAATATTCAAGGAAGAGGATGATACTTAATTTTGCAATGTATTAGGAGAAATCTCGATTCGAATCCTTCTTTTGGCACAAGGGGGATATTTATACTAAGAATGGGAAGAGGATAGCCGTTGGATGAGGAGACTCCCATCCTAGGTGTCAATCTATCCCTCCATAGGTTGGCTGGCATTGAATGTCTCTGACAAAGGCAGGTGAATTGACCGTTTGGATCCTGCCACACGTCCCATCAGTCAGGGATTTAACTTTGGAAAGATCTTTGTAGAAGATATCTTTGTTGGGGCGGGGCAAGGCAAGGAAGGTGCGGAGTCATAGAAGCGGAGTACGGGCCTTTGCATCCGCAGTGTATCACAGATGAGTTCGATTCCTTCGTTGACACACGTTCAGTTCGTCCCACGTGTGGTGTGGTGTAGACCACCTCTACTAACACGTGGTGGGTGAGGTGGCAAGTCTGACACAGGCCTGTAACAATAGTCCTGCAAGTTCATGTATGGATATTTATATAGTACAAGGACTTGTTTAAGAGTTGGGACGCGTTGGGATGAGCGTTGGAGGCAGGCAGTTGAGCGGTGAATGCTAATGATTTCGTCGAATGTTGATACGGAGTGAACTGTGATATGTCCAAAGTGATAACGGTGGCAACTCTTTGAAGAGAGCTGCTGCAACGCGAAGCTGGTATGGTCGAAGCGACACGAGTGGCAACTCTAAAGGGAGTTGTTGTAACATCAGATTCTGCTCTGGCCGAAGTGATATTAGTTGGCAACTCTTTGGAGAGTTGTTGCAACGCGAAGCTGGTACGGTCGAAGTGACAAGAATTGGAAACTCTAGAGGGAGTTGTTGTAACATCAGATTTTGCTCAAGCCGAAGTGATAACGGTTGGCAACTCTTTGGAGAGCTGTTACAACGAGAAGCAGGTGCGGTCGAAGTAACATAAGTTGGCAACTCTAGATGGAGTTGTAATATCAGATTCTACTCTGGTCGAAGTGTTAACAGTTGGCAACTCTTTGGAGAGAGCTGCTACAATGCGAAGCTTTAAAGTGACGAGGTGACTGGATCTGAAGCGAACCTTGGGCTTTATGCTAATAATTTGAAAGCGTTCGTGTTTTCCTAAGACATCTATAGGACATCTGCTTGCTTCCAAGGCACACATCCTTTGCCATAAATGGTAATGATGGCGACGACTCCCATTCCTCGAGACGACGCATCTAGTTGTGCGTGAGATTTATCGCTTCATCAGGATCGTTGATCTTGGTAACCTTTGACCTCAACGGTGATACTGGGGTCTCATCTTTGGATGGCCTAGACGCGACTGGGATCGATCTAATGGTTGGGGTGAGTCTTAGAAAGTCTATATAAGTCCCATTCCTTTCATCTTGAACCTTTTTACTTTTACGAAAATCTCCAACTCTCTCTAAAAAGGTTTTTGCTTTCAGTATTCTATGTTTTCTTCTCCGACGAGAATTTAGAACTCCGGTGATCGTCTTGCAAACTTCGGCGATGGGCAGACTTTGTTGAACTAGGTAACAATCATATTTTTCAGTTTTCTCATCTTTTTCCCTTTTCTTTAAATATTCTACTAAAAATTACGGGATGGCAAGTGAACAATCTGCTGACACGTCTAGGAGTGAGGAGAGGAGAGGTAGGGGAAGTTTTGCTCTGATGGAGCCCATGCTAGTATCCTTGGATGAATTGAGTAGGGCCATTTGGGCCAGGAAAACATTTGGAGACGACCAGCTTCTCCAGTGGACAATTCGGTTCAATGGGGGCTTCGAAATACCCTTCCAAAATTACCAGGGAAGTACGGGAGAGGTGTAGGGTCATTTTTTAGGAATCCTGATAGTATAGAACTGATCATACCCGAGCCCCATGAGAGGGCCTGCTACTCGAGGTCGAGGTGTGTGGTTAAAAGTGAGAACATACTTAAAGCTGGCCTTAGGCTTCCCTTCCACCCATACTTAAGGCTGGCCCCGACTCAGC